TATACGTATAAATATATAAAATACATGTATTTAAATATAAATATATATATATAAATATATATGTATATATATATAAATATATATATATTAGATTTTTCAATTGATTTTTCAATTAAAATCCAAATTTTCAACCGATATCCGTTGGAATTCCGTTGGAATTTTTTTTTTAATTTCTAAAAAAATTTCTAACCGATATCTGTTGGAATTTTTTTAAAATTTTCAAAAAAATTTCCGACCGATATCCGTTGGAATTTTTTTCCAACCAACAGTCGTCGGAATTCCGTTGGACATTTCCAAATGATTTTTTCAACCGATATCCGTTGAAAATTTCCAACGGATATCCGTTGGAAATTTTCAACCCAATTTTTCAATTGAATACGTTGAAAATTCCGTTAAAAATTTCCAACGGAAATCGCCGTTGAAACGCTGTTGAAAACCATTGGAAAATCCATTGGAATTCGATGATTTTTTTATAGTGAAGTATATCTGCATAGCATACCGTATCATTGGTCGAGGGTTCCTTCAAATTCTAATCAAATGTGAATTCAACTATTTCATCTCCGATCTTCATCGTTAATCTACCATCTTGGACATGAACCACGGCATCCGCTGTGCTCAAGAATGGTCGGCCCAAAATGATCAGGACCTTGGAATCACCATCCATATCTAAGACCACAAAATCCACTGGTACGTATAATCTGCCAATCTTGAGGGGCACGTCTTCTAGAATCCCTGCTCGATACTTGATAGATCGGTCTGCTAGTTGAAAGGCAATCCTCGTGGGTTTTAAGTCGCCTATGTTCAACTTCTTGTAAATGGACAATGGCATAAAACTTACGCTAGCCCCGAGATCGCATAACGCTCTATCAATCTCAATACTCCCCAACTTGCATGGAATAGAGAAACTCCCCGGATCAGACATCTTCGGGGGTAGTTCATGCTTTGTGATGGTTGCACTGATCTCGGTGCTCAATGCTACAGTCTCCTTTTCAACTACCTGCTTCTTCGTCAAAATATCCTTGAGGAACTTCGCATATGAGGGCATTTGGAGAATTGCCTCATGGAAGGGCATTGTAATATCCATCTTCTTCAGCATTTCCGCAAACTTTCCAAATTGGCCGTCTTCATTAAATTTCTTTAAACGAGAAGGGAAAGGTATCGGAGGTACCTTAGGCGGAGGAGGAATGTAGATCGGTTCTTTCTCCTGTTCTTGCACCTTAGGAGTGTCTTCCTCTACAGCTTTTTCTTTTTCCTCCTTTGTTAGCCTTGGAGGTGATGCCTTCTCAACCATCGGAGGAGTAGTCTCCGGAAGTTGTTTTCCACTCCTTAGCTTCACTGCATTGATGTGTTCCCGAGGGTTCATCTCGTTCTTATCAGGAAGCATGCCTTGCTGTCTTGATGAGGAGAAAGATGCGAGTTGGGCCACTTGATTTTCCAAGATCTTCAAGTGAGCTTGTACTCCTTCCAATTGTTTCTTGAATGCAACTTGCTCATTTTCAATGCTCCCAATGGAAACTCCTTGCGATTTTTGACGTTGGAGGATTTGGATAAGCATATCCTTGATGTCCGGGTCTTGCTCCTTGGGTTGCACTTGCAGCGATCTATAGTTGAATTCCCTTGGTAGCCTTGGCTCCCTTGACCTTGCTGTTTGTACTTCAGTTGGGAACCCGGAGGTCCTTGGTTATTCCGTTGGAAAGCGGGTTGAGGATTTCGTGCATTCGACGTGTTCTTGTAGGAGAAATTGGGATGATTTCTCAATCCCGGGTTGTATAGGTTGGACGGATGAGTGTATTGATTCGGGCCGACATAGTTAGTTTCTTCCGCTTCTTGATCAATCATGTACATTCCCGGTTGAATTTGCAATAAATTGTGATCTTCCACAGTAGTTACTTGTTTGACGTTGGCTAGTTGAATCTTTATCTCGGCAAGGTCGGATAGCACCGCCTTAAGAGCTGCATTCTCTCCCACATCACCTTTCACTGAGTTTCTCCTACTGAACTCGTTGGACGTGTGGCTGCGTCCTTTGGCCAATTTTGCAATTGTCACTTCTAACTCTTGGAAAGGGATGTCGTAAATGTCACCGAGTGTCATCCTTCAACCCATGGATGAAGATGGATAGAAGGTAGTCTCTTTCCATTCCATGGTGAGGGCACATTCTTTGATATTCCTTGAAGCGTTCCCATGCGTCGTGAAGATTTTCCCCATCCTCTTGCACAAAGGCATTGATCCGATTTCTCGCGTGTTGAGTCTTGGTAGGGGAGTAGTATTGCATAAGGAATTGTTCTTCCATCTCACCCCATGTCGAGATAGAGTTTGGCTCAAGAGTGTAGAGCCAATCTCTAGCTCTCTCCGTAAGTGAGTAGGGGAAAGTTTCAAGGAACACGTCTTCTAAAGTTATCCCCGGTCCCTTCTTGATTGCCTTACAGTTCATCTTGAAATTTATAAGGTGAGCATTCGGGTCCTCGTTGGGTCGCCCACGGAAACTCATGTTGTTGAGCATTTGAATGCATTGCGGTAGGAGTTCAAAATCTTCTAACGATCCCCTGTTGATGCATGATAGTAACTGAGTATGCTTCGGTTATGTGTACGTTCGAAGCGTTCTAGGGGCTGCTTGGGCTAGACCTCTTTGGGCATTGGCCCCTTTCAACAACTCTTCGGCCATTTCGGGTTGTTCTCTTCGTGCGTTGTTTTCTCTCAGCATTTCTTCGGCCATTCCCCACTGTCTTTGCTGTCTCCGAGCGAAGCATAGAGTCCTTTCTATTTCGGGGTCGAAGACGAGTTGATCTCTACCGGTTGTGCTTCTTGTCATGCACCGGAAGAGCTGCACACCAAAGAGACAAAACGAACCGAAAGTGTTGTGAAAAGGTTATATCACAAAGTAATCCAAGCAAGAATCCAAGCAATGGTGATCTAGCAAAAATCTAGACTAACAAGAAAACGCCTAGTCCCCGGCAACGGCGCCAAAAACTTGATGCGCACGCACCAAGTCTTATATTTAATACCCGATTCGTACCACTATCCGCAAGTATACGGTAGTTGTAGTACCGGGGTCGAACACGAGGACTAGGATGTATTAGTATATCTCTATGCTAGATTAGGTGGTCAAATAAAAATGTGGGTTGTGATAAGTGTCGGAATATGAGTCAGCAAATCAAATTAACGGGTTGTAAACGATGATTCAAGGCGTTGTAGGTTCGGGATCCCTCAAGAATTGCATGGACGGTTAGTGATGCTACGATGTCTACGGGTGTATCTTCCAAAAGGGGGTTTCAAGCACTTCTTCTAGAGTTTCTCTCTCCCGAGCTTAAATTCACTACCTAGAGAATCGATTCACCCATCTCCCAATGATCTAAATGATCTCTAGATGCATTAGTGTACCCTATCATGAACCCTAAGCAAGCTAAGCCATCTCCCAATGTGAATAACTCACTCATTTGACATTTGGTTCCAAACATCATCCCCATATCCCTATGATCAATGTGTTCTATGGTCATATCAATTAGGATTTCATCCAAATCAATAACATTAAGCACAAAACATCAAACCCATGGAAGAAAACTCAAAGACATCATAGATTAGCATAGGTGGCCATACAAAAGTGGGGATCCCTCACCCACTACAAAGTCACTACTCCATAACTAGAGGTTCAAAACAGAAAACAAAAGGGGAAAACATAGAAAAGGAGAAGAAATGCTCAAGATGGTCTTCAATGGTGATCTCCTCCTTCAAGATGTCTCCATAGGTCTCTAAATCTCTCTTGCCTCCTCTCCAAGGTGATTTTCTTCCAAAGTGTCGAGCCCCTTTTCTCTCTCCTCAAACTCCCCTTTTTATGAAAGTGTCAAAATAGGTTTTCTCCTCAAAAATCGGGCTTTTCCTTTTTGGGCTGGTTTTGATTTCGGGCGGTCGCTCACTTTTTCTTCAGTGTCGCTCGTTTTCTCTTCAGGGTCGCTCATTTTCTTCGTCATGGGCGACTCACTATAGCGAGCGACCGTTCGTTCTTCTTTGTAACTCAGAGCGACCGCCTGGAATAACGAGCGACCGCTCGTTCCCCGTAATAGCACAGAGCGACTGCTTGCTTCTGCGAGCGACCGCCTGATTGCTTGATTATCACGACGGGCGACCGCCCGTGAAAACAGGCGAACTCAGTGAACGAGAAAGCATTCGAATTAGATAAGGTGGTTTGTGTTGGGTAATCTACGGGTTCCTAGCATGCGATCATATCGATCTAGGGTTTGGTTTACTAGGTTTCATGCAGCGGAAGAAAAATCTAAACCTAGTCAAACGTCACACGCAACCAAACTCGCAGAACCCGAAAGATCGTGTATATCACCGAGGGAATCGTTACTTACCTCGTTCTCGATGAGACTTGAAGTTTGTTTCGATCCGGGGCCTGTTCTAAATCACCAAGAGCTGAAAGTACAGCTCCTCTACACGTATCCACACCGACGGGAAGGATTCCAAACGATTTGGAACGAATCTGCTAGGATTAGTGAAGAAAAGGGTAACTCAAGAGACGAGATCAATCTCGGGACAATAGAAATC